AGCAAACGCCCTGCTCCACGAGGAAAACGCTCACACAAAGCCTCCAGGGCAGAGTCGACGCCTCTGATGCCGATTCCTAAATCCTCAGGACACGCTCCAGCCGGGGGTGGGCATCGCCGTGGCCCCAGGGGGCTGTGACAGCACAGGGCCTGACCGGCCCAGGCATGCGGAGGAGGTAAATGTTTGACCAAATACAGCAGGCGAGTGTGCCAGCGAAGAGGAGAGTTTTGTGTGACCCGAGATGAAGCTGTAAATATCCACATGGCCGTTGACAGAAGGTCCCCACCCACTCGAGGCAAACAGGCAGACGCCTGGTGCCTCAGGGTCCATCGGAGGTCCCGGGGCAGCGGTCATGGCCCAGGCACAGACGCTTCAGCTTCTCTTCCTTCCTCCCGCACTGCCCTGGTCTGGGCGTCCTACCCACAGCCCGGGCTTAAACAAGTCATGCCCCGCCCTGGAGGCTGGGGCCCAGACCCAGCTGTGGCCAGGATACTCTCTGGGAGGGAGGAGCGAGCCCAGGCAACCTCCAGGCGTCCTCCCCCTTGTGTCCCTTCTTGTCTCCCCTCACGTCTCCCCCTCGGGTGTCTGCGTCCAATCTCCCTGTGTGGACACCAGTCCTGTCCGACTAAGGACCCTGGTGCCCTCATGTTGCCCGAGCACCTCTGTAAGGCCCTCCCACCAATGGCCATAGGCTGCCCAGGGTCAGGGCTGCGAGGGATCAGTGTGGGACACAATTCAACCCATGACAGGTATGCACTTCCTCCCAGCAGACCGCAAGGGCAAGTGCCCCTCCTCCCCCGGGAACCGAGTTCGGCAGAGACCGGGAGGCGCCCCCGTGCGCCCGCAGCAGGGAGGGGACCTCGGGACCCCCCGGGCCACTGGAGCCAGGTGAGTCCCTCCGCACCCCGCCTGGGCACCCACCCACCTCCTCCTGCTGTCCCTGCCAGGGCCCCTCCCTGAGGATACGCCGCCCCTGGGCAGCACGCTGGCTGACACTCCATGTGGGGCCGTGGTGCAATCACTTGGAAATTCAACATATGGGCATCTTCATGGGCTTCAGAGAGCCTTCCTCTTCTCACCCCTCCCAGAGCCCTGGCCACCAGCACAGCCCAGGAAGCACATGGGGCCCCGCCCCAGGGGCCTCCTTCCCGCCGCGATGGCCTCAAGGGCCCCACGAGGAGCAAAGAGCAGTCACCGCCTCAAAGCCAGGTGACCTCCCCCCTCGCAGGGGAGATGCCGCTCGACCCAGCTGCCTCCACCTGCTCCACAGCCCCCGGCCCCGGGGCCAGCCCAGTCGGTGATGGGGCCCTCGGTGAGGCCAGACCGGAGGCCACAGGCCTGCAGCCCAACCTCTGCGCCAGGGAGCACGTGTCCCTGGGGGCCCCCACCTTCCGCGAGGTGTGGGCAAGGGCCGCCAACGCCCACTACCTGCGGCACCGGGTGCCTCCTGAGGCTGAGCGGCTGCTCAGCATGGGGGAGATATTTGGGCATGGGGGTCCTGGGACCCAGCGCAGGGCGCCTGGAGGTCACCTCTCCGACCCTCCCGAGCCCTCAGAGTAACACGTCAGCCACTAGAGAAATGTGCACAATTTTATTTTCAACCGTTTCCCCCTTTCCCCGAATCTGCAAGGCCAGTCGATGAAAAGCGAGGGGGAGGGGAGTCTCCTGGGAACCGGTAAGTGATGCACCCGCACCCCTGGCTAAGGTCTCAGAAATAGGACTCTGCCTTGAAGAGATGGTGCCGCCCGTTCTGACACTTGTGGCGCCACCTGCTGGCCAGAGGGCACCGTCCTGGGTCCTGGGCCCCTGAGGGTTGGGCTCGCGGCCTGTGCAGACCGCCTCCCTCCCAGGCACCCCATTTAGGTTTCCTGTTCCCACCTTCCACCTGCTCACATCAAACTGGCAACCTAATCAACAGCTGACAGCACTGTGCTCCCGCCAGCATCTCCTGCCCAGCAACACGGTGGCGGGTGGCAGCCCAGGGCAGCTCGGATGACCAACATGAACTCATGGGCCATGGTGGAGGCCGCGCCAGGACAGAGGCTGCGTGCACACTGCCCAGCCCGCCATCTGTGCCTCTGTCTCTTCCCCATTTTGTGTGGGTGTTTCTCCTGCGGCCAGAGGCTAGGGGCCAGGCCAAGGCAGCCCAAGCGTGGCCGCTGCTGGGCCGTGGACGGGAACACACACTGCGCACTCCCCGCATCGTGCCCGTCTCCACTCCTGTGGATGAGCCCTGCTGCAGCCCTCCACCCGCTGTGTCCAGACATTTCACGTGGTGCCACCCCGTGCCTGACCTGTAGCATCTGAGCCGTGACATCCCACCGTCTCTAATAAAAACTTCATCGTCATCGTTCCAGAAAACGCTTCCTTCCCTCGCGCACATTATGGCGCTCAATGCTCACCCTCCCATGGACAGAGGACGCAGACAACCCGTCCCCTGCACTCAGGGGCCTGGGTGTCCACCAGGCGCTACTGCCCACGCCAGTCCTGCCCTCGGGGCCCGCTTCACCCTCACTCCACAGGGAGGGTCCAGTCCTCATTTTTGCCTATAGAATGTCTAACTTTATTGTAAATATCTTTAGCAACAAAATTAGAGAGATTATAATAAAAATGTCATACTTCAAAATGTATAGAAATTATATTTAAATATAATGTTTCACTGTTATTGACTCATCCGAAACGTCACTCACTTTATTGTGTCCCAGGTGTTGGCTATATTTAGGGTAAAAACATCTAAGCATTTCAGCATTTTGTCTTCATGTCATGGAAACAAAGTCTGAATTAACTTCCGACCACTGCCTCTGACCACTGCCAACACCAGCAATAGCTCAGCTGGAAAATTTTATTGAAACATAAAATGTGAGTGAATCAGTCTTGCCCAAGTTTACATCCATTAAAACATGGGCACAAAAATGTGTTGGTCAGTAATGAACAGATTTGCAGATGGTGTTAAGAGCCAGGCCCATGGTAACATGGACTGACCCCAATGTCAAGATGACGCTTTTAAAATACTATCAGAAAGCCCATTGGTGTGGGTAAGTGGTGAGCGCTGACCCACGAACCAGGATGTCACATTTCGATTCCTGGTCAAGGTCAGGGCGCGTGCCCAGGTTGTGGGCTGAGTCCCCAGTAGGGGGCATGCAGGAGGCAGCCAACTGATGATTCTCTCTCATCATCTTTATCTCCCTCTCCTTTCCTCTATAAAATCAATAAAAATATATTTTTAAATTGTCACCTTAAATTTAAAAAAATTGTAAGAAATAATTGAGGCGGCCCCAGCACACCAGTTCCTTAGTTCCTGCGACAGCCAGGTGGCGCCTGCAGGAGAGGCCAGGCTGGAGCATGGGGCTAGTAGGAGCAGTGGGAAGGTTAAGGGAAAGGCCTAAGAAAATGCTCCCGGGACAAGGGCACAGCTGAGCCTGCCACTCAGAGTGGCCGTGTCCCCGCCAGGACCAACCAACAGGAGGACCCATGTGCCCACATGTTGGCTCCTCGAGGCCAGGCCTGGCCCGGAGCCTGGCTGGGGTTCCAGCTTGTGGGACAGGAGCCCTGACAGGAGGTGGCGGCGGGGGCTCTGGCTGAGCGGGGTGGGCCACCACTCTGGAGAACAGCCAAGTGATTCTCACTTGTGAACCTTTTCCACGAGCACACACAGGCTTGGAGAGAACGCCGGACAGAAGGGAGACGGAGAGTTCACTTCACCACAAACAACACCATCCCCGTGCCAGGGGCCCGGGCACAGAGGACAGAGGGCGCCTGCTCTGGCCACCGCCGCTCTGCTAGTCGGTGCTCAGCAGGGTGGCCCGCAGGTGTCTCTCCAGCTCCAGGAGGCTCCGGTAAAACTTCTCAGCAGTGTCCTCGTCGAGGTCCATCTGGAAGGGAACCGGAAATGGTGGCGGGGAATGACACGAACATTCTGGGAACGGGTGGGCGCTCGCCCGACATGGAGGACTGAGGCGGCCACAGGGAACGGCCGGAGCCACCCCGGGACAGCGGGCAGCCTACCTTCTCCGTCGTCACGTAGTTGCTCCCGAAGCCAGTGGTGGCGCTCAGGTACTTGGTCAGAGGGTTGAGGGACCCGGGCTTCTGGTGGAAGAGCCACACCTGGAAAGGAGGAGGGTGCAGGGCGGTCGGGCCGAGGGCGCGGCTGGTGGGGACTTGGACTAGAAGTCCTCTCGACCAGCTCGCTGTCACAGCTCCACGACCCGCTGCTGGGCTTGAAGGGAGAGGGCAGCCTGCTTGACGGCATCCTTTGAAAAGCACCTGAAGCAAAAGCCTCTTCTCTTAATCCCCAAATTAAAGCTCATGGCGCCCCCCTCACCAGGTAACTCACAGAAACAGCGGTGCCTCAGTGACAGACAAGCACCGGCACTCCACTGGGAGCCCCCTTCCCGCCGCGCTTCCTCTCGGTCCCCTCCTCTCCGTCCCCTCGGGAAGCAAAGGCGACCAACACCTCGTGTTCACCCACGAGCACGTGTCTGCTGGAAGTGGGGCCCCTGCTCACCCTGACAGGGAAGCAGGACCCCACACTCCGCAAGCGTCTGCAGACATTTCCATCAGGGTGAGCAGGTCTGTTTCATTCTCTTTCTAAGCAGCCGGCATTCCACAATCTATATAACCAGTTTCCAATGGACGGACATACAGGTCTTTGCTGTCACCGCCGCACTGTGATGCGGGACAGTCCAGCGTTACCTGGAGTCTGAGCACACAGAGACGATAAACACCGAAGCCGGAACGGCTGGTTTGCGCACTGACCGTGTTCACTGTCCCCCAGCGCAGAGCCAACATCGTGAACTCCCCCATCTCCGCCACTCAGAGCTGGAAGCTTCACTGTGACTTTGGTTTGCATTTCTCAGTGTAAGACTGAGCGTCTCTTCCTACGATTAAGGCCGTTTAAAGTTCTGTTGGTGGCCTTTGCCCCTTGTCCTGAAGGAGCGCTGGGGAGTGAGGGACAGACACACAGAGTGACTAAGTGGGGGACTTCACCCAGATGGTGCGGCCAGCGGGCCCTGACCCAGAAGTAGAGGACCCTGGGGACGTCCTGTGTGTCCAACAGAAACGATGACCGTGAGCCATTAGCAGCGTCGACCCCAGCGAGGGAGCGCGGCAGCCCCGGCCGGAGCGCAGTAAGTAAACGCGCTGGTTTCCCAACAGTGACAGCCCGACTCCGATGTGAACGGAGGAAGGAGCATCTCCGTCCCAGGAAGTGGCCTGGGCTTTGCTGCCTCTAGGCTGACCCACAGGTGGCCTCCCCGGGAAGCCCGCGTGCCGGCCACCATCGCCCCGGGGCCCCCACCTACCAGGGCCTCGGCTCCATTGTACGGCGTCAAGGTGAAAGCGTTTGCAAAGAAGCGAAGCTGACGGAGAGAAAATAGGTGTCATTCCGTGGGGGTTTAGGACAAGGGCCCAAAAGCAGCATTCATCACACATTTAAAGACAACCTGCACGTCCTCTCCCTGAACATTTAAGTGTCAAAGTAAAGAAGTCTAAAACAGAAATGGCACTTCATCCCCCTCCAGGCCAGCCCCTGGAGCGCAGAGGCGTATTCCTCCTGCCTCTTGGCGCCTGGCGATGGAGGGCGTTTTCTGAGCTCCACATGGAAGGACAGTCCCTCACAGGAGCCTTTTTAGTGGCTGAAGGCACTTCTGCGAGAAACGCTCAAAACACAAACCAGAAGCACTGACCTGTGGCTCTGGCCGTGAGCGCACACGTGGCCTCCTGGGAGCTGTGTGCACGTGCACGTGACCACACTGAGCACGCGAGGAAGCCTGTAACCACCATGCAGCCAGGTTCCCACTCACACGGCCTAGGGCTCCCAGGCCCACGGAGCACGCTCAGGGGAGCGCGCCCTCCCAGAGAAGGGACGGGCAGTGTGGGGTCAGCTGGGGGGGAGCAGAGGCTACTTGCCATGGACTTCAGTCCTCCAGGGATGTGAGGTTCTGCCACCTCCCGATTCAATTTCTGAAATCACTTCCCAGCCCTCACACACCCTTCAGTCCCGAGTGGAACAGCTGCATAAACAGAGAAAGGAGGCGCTGGGCGGAGCGCACTCACCAGCCATATGATCGGCATTATCAGTGTCCACACGAAGCGGGGCAGGATCCCGTAGGTCAGGTTGGTCAGCATGGTCCCCGGGCACACCACACTGGAGAACAGGCCCTGCGGGCACAGGGACAGTGGGCAGGGCTGAGCTCAGGGGGGCACAGGGACAGCGGGCAGGGCTGAGCTCAGGGCACAGGGATGGCGGGCAGGGCTGAGCTTCGGGCGCAGTGGCTGCGGGCAGGGCTGAGCTCGGGCACTGACTCAGCCCTGGACACGCTGGTGAACCAAGGACACGCACCAGCACAGGCAGGAAAGGCCTCTGCTCTGAGGGGTCCTGGCGCTGGGGAGACCCTGTCAGTGGAAGCTCGGGGCTGAGGACCCGCTGGGGGGGGGGGTACTCAGGATGCAGAAAATTAGTGAGACCGTCTCTAATCTCAAGCAACGCCCCGGACGAAGAGCAGCCAGCCCTGAAGCTGGAAAAAGGGGCCTGGCACCTGAGTTTCCCGTGTTGCTGGGTCAGGTGCAGGTCAGCTTGTCAACCCTGAAAATCACTGGAGACAAAAAGACACACAGGACAGCCTCTGCCTCTGGGACCAGACACGAACTGCCCTGTGTGTCTGCCTCCAGCAGGGGCACCGACCCAGACCCCAGCTGCGGGTGGGGCGCTGGGCTCAGAGCAGAGGGCTGAGCTGCCCACAGAGACCCCGCCCCCCTGCAGGCCTCCGAGGGGGCCTCTGCCAGGACTCGTGGAGCCCAGTAACACAACTCGTGGACCAGAAGGGGGCGCTGTGCACTCTGCCCCTGCAGAACCGGGACTTGCTTTACTAGCAATCAGTTTAATTTTTACTACATTGACCTCCTTTGATATTGACCATTTCAATTCATTTTTATTACTTTTCGTCTTATTTTTTAAACACAACGCTGGAAGTACCAGGGGAACAGGCGGCCGTGGGAGAAAGCACCGCGAAGCTTGTTCTGCTTGGGGCGGTGAGGCTCCGGATGCACACTGATCCCCCGCCCCCGGGAGTCCCCCCGCTTACCAGGGGCCTGGACTCGTCAGCCTTACAGACCAACAATTCCTCCCAAGAAAGCCACGGTTTCCCCCGAGACAGCCAGGGACCTCTGTTCTGGGAGCCAGTCAGGCCCAGGCAGGGACTCGTCAGCCCTAAGTGATGACGTCTGTGAACTAAACCTTGATGCTGAGCCACAGCAGAAACACGCAGGGAGGGGCTCCACCACGACCACTGCCCACAGGGAACCACGGACCGCGAGGCCGGTGCTCTGGGAACCACGGACGGCAGCTCAGCCAGAGCCAGTGGGCCCCAACGCGCACGCATCCCTCAGCTCTGGAGGGTGCAGTTCTTTCTTGGCTGCTTCTCTGAGCAAAAGCCAAGGCCACGCTGAGGCTGAGCCGCAGCACAGACCGGGCAGCAGCAGCCGCAGCTACGCCTCCCTTCTTTCTTTATCCTCATCCAAGGATATGTTTACTGGTTTTAGAGAGAAGGGAGGGGGAGGGAGAGGGAGAGGGGGAGAGAGAGGGGAGCATCGATGTGAGAGAGGAACATTGATCAGTTGCCTCCTACATGCACCCTGACTGGGGATCGAACCCACATCCGAAGTGCGTGCCCTGACTGGGGATCAAACCAGGACAGGATGAAGCACCAACCAACTGAGCCACACTGGCCAGAGCTATAAGATGGAATCCCAACCCTTACTGTGGGGTGGGGAACGTCCGGCCTTGGGGCCATAGGAGGCCCTCGCAATCATTGGGTCTGGCCCTGCCAAGGCAACCGCAGGCGGGACTCGAAATTCCATCAATCTAGGAGCGTTTTTCACAGTTACATCAATTCATGCTAAGGGAACTACAGGAAGTGAACGATGCTATAAATACCAGTGGCCCTTGGCAGAAAAGGCGCCCCACCCCTGCCTTACCTGCTTGACAACCAGACTTCACTAGCCCAGAGCTGTCCAAGGTCAGACAAGCCCTCCCACACTGACCTGCCCCCACAAGGGGGTCTGGGGACAAGCAGTTGTGACAAGCTGTCATCTCAAGAAGCCAGAAGCTCTCCATTGGACCAGCACACTGGGCTCAAACTGTAACACAGTAACAAGAATAACAACAGCCCACACATGCAGACCATGTGCACACACCATACAAGCGCACCCCTGTGCACACCCACAGGCACGCTCTGAGCGCAAAGCACTGCACACTGCTCCAGACCAGCCCTCGCACCCCACCCAGGAGGCAGGAACTATTACTGTCCCTACTGGCCAGGTGAGGAAACTGAGGCCCAGGACTGAGCCAGGACCCATAAGTCCCGCTGCAGGCTCCCAGCTGCTACTTGTGCACAGCCTCACCACTAAGAGGCAGGACTCGCAGAGTGGGGCCCGCCCGACAGCCTCCGCTCCAGGACAGAGCAGGTCCCGACTCTCTGGGAGGCCGGCTGCTGTGTCTAATGCACCAAAGCTGTTCCCCTGCCCTGGCCAGTGCTCAGTGGTTAGTGTCGGCTTCTGCACCAAAGAGTCGCACGTTCAAGCCTCAGCCCTCGTTGGGTGCTTGTTGGAGGCAACCGATCGGATGCTTCTCGCTCACAGTGATGTTTCTCTCTCTGAAAAATAAAAGAAATCAATTCCCCTCCCCCATCCGCTCTAAAAAATAAAAATCATGGAAAAAATCTCCGCTGGTGAGGATTAACACCACCAACAAAAGCAGCTCCCCTACGGGCAGATGGCTTCAAGGTCCCCTTGTAATTTCTCCCTCCTCTTCCACCCCAGGCCTGGCCCAGTGCCCTAAACATGGTATGATTTTGTAAATATTAGTGGAATTAAATTGCTCCACAGCCTCACACCCCAACCACAGAAAAAGCCCCCAGGAAAACACCATGGGGATGACAGGAGATGTTAACGTTTGAGACACACAAGGACGCAGCAGGCCCCAGACCCCAAGGCTGCAGGCCCCAGCTTGACTGACAAGGGCCCCCTCCAACGAAACACCCTTGACACCCGGGGCACGGACAGGCAGAGTGCGGGGCTCACCAAGGGCCACCGCTCCCACTGGACGCCAATATGAACACAGGCGGCAATGGCTTGAGGGGATCCAGGCCGCAAAGTCAGAGGGCCGGGTCCCACCCTGAGCTGCACCCCCACCAGTTCCTCACTTAACCTCTCCACATCCTCACAGGAAGGGGGACGCTGAGCCCGCTCCCTGGGACGGGAAAGGTATGGAAGACACAGGCAAAGAGAGGGCACCTACAGCACAGTGAGGGCTCACAGCGCAGGTGCCGTGGCGCGGCTCTGCCCGAGAAATCACGGCTGGAAGAAGTACAGGGCGGCGCACGAACCCCTGTGCCCTAGAAGTCAGGATCTCGTTATTTCTGTCCCAAAACATGCCTAGACACCAACTATCGATCCCATGCAGGTCTCTGCCTTCCGCAGGGCAATCCTGCTCAAGAAACAACGCTGTGTCTTCTCAGCGGCCACGGTGAGCGCGAGCCCGGCCACAAGAGCAGCGCGGCTCAGACACCACGCCCCACCCGCGCCAGAGCCCGGCCTCACCCGCTGGTTGAAGTTCCTGTTCAAGGCCACACTCAGGAGGTCCAGCGCGTACTTGGAGGAGCTGTAGGGCTCCTGGCCTCTGCTGTGCTGGAAGTCCTCCAGGCTGAAGCTGGCCTTGCGGGCGCTGCGGGACGACGTCCAGATGAGCTGAGACGGGCTGTCACCACGACCGAGGAGAGGGTCCAGCTCCCGAATCTGCGTGGGAACAGGAACAAAAAGCGAACCAAGATCGACTGGGGAGGACGGGCAACAATGTGGAAACCACTGAAATGTCCACTGTAACGGGGTAGGTTTGTCACTGGGAGGGGACATCACAGGTGAGCAGGGAGGGGCCCGAAGGCCCTGCGTGGTGCTGGATGAGAGTGAAGACAACAGCATGGACTCGTGTTCACATTCATTAAGGTGCGGATGGTGACATGTGGAAATATGTACAGCTGTGTGCACACATGTGCGTTGGTACACACATACGCATCCCCTTGCTGCCAGCAGAGGACCCAGAAGCACTGCTGCCTCAACAAGCACCAGGTTCTGGTGTCTAACACCCGCTCCAATGAAAGGAACCAGAGCTCCCTAGGTCAGTGGTTCTCAACCTTCTGGCCCTTTAAATACAGTTCCTCATGTTGTGACCCAACCATAAAATTATTTTCGTTGTTACTTCATAACTATAATGTTGCTAGTTATGAATCGTCATGTAAATATCTGATATGCAGGATGGTCTTAGGCGAGTCCTGTGAAAGGGTCGTTCAACCACCAAAGGGATAGCGACCCACAGGTTGAGAACCGCTGTCTTAGAGGAAAGGCCTGTTCTAGGTCTAGGGCAGGGAACATACAGTGACCTTGAGGCATCTTAGTGTCAGCAAGGACATGCTTAAAGCAGAAACAAAGCCATTGTGATGAGGGCACGTCCAAGACAGACCCAACGGAAACATCTGAGCAGAAACTCAAGTCGAGTTTACAACCCGGGGCAGCAAGTACATCCTGTGTGCCCACGCAGGTGTCTGTCGGCACCAATACGTTAATAAACAAAGATGCCAGAGGAAGAGGAAAGGGTTACGAAAAGATAAGAGAAATATTAGATAATGATCTTGGTGAACTTATTTTTTAAATGACCAGATAGGAATTCAACCCATCCTGACTTTATATTTTAATTTTTGATTGAAAACTAGTATCATATAAAATATAGTATGAAAGGATATAGAATGAAACATGAACTTCCCACTTATCCCCGAGGCCCTGGCAGCCAGTGTTCCCAATTTATATAATTCTAGAAATATTATATACATGTGCATGTACTTTGTAAAGATGTATCTTTATGCTATTTCACTGTAAGAATCAAATCCTAGAGGCTATCCCACACCAATGCAAAATAGTCTTCATTTCTTTTCAGTTTCATAATATTCAGTATCTGTATGTACCTCAATTTATTATAAATATAGGCTAGTCCTCAAGAAGGTGGTCCAATTTTCAGGGAAAACAGGCTCAACGTGCAGAAAAGTGACCATGAACCTAGCATCAGAGAAGCAGGTTGCACTGGCAAAGCCAGTGGCTGCCCCGAGCAGTGGTCAGCCACTGGACACAGCTGGCATGACAGTCTAGATGCTAATGTCACCCAAGAGATTAGCCTGAGGCCGGAGCATGGAGCAGGCTGGACAAGGCAGCTGTGCCAGAACCGCAGCGCACAGTGCAGGGGCTCACGAAACGGGCGACAAGAGATTAGCTATGAGTCCCGTTCAGTATGGCTTGCCTGCTCCCCTCCTCTCCGAGGCCAGCCCGGCTCTAAAGACCACTGAGCATGATCTTTGAAGGCCTCTGTGTTCCTTTCTACTTTCTCTCTGCTCTCCAGAGCTGATGGCAAAAGGAAAAATAATCTCTCAAGAGGCTGCTGCAGGGACCAATGTTTCCAGAGGAGCGTGAGGGTCCTATTTAAATGCTCCCAATCCAACGCCAGCCCACGCCGGTGAGCTTCACAGAGCAGAGCTATGGTGCCCCCAGCCTTCAGGACGCCAGTGCGGCGTGGCCTGATGGCACTTACCAGGACAAAGTGGCCAAAGACATTGGTTGCGAAGACCTCCTGGAGGCCGTGGGCAGTGACCCTGTCGTCCTGGGTCAGCAGCCCCTCCGCAGTGGAGAACACGTGGATCACCTTTCTGAAACAGAAGAGAACTGCATGACTTTCCCACGTCCGGCAACCGGACCCTGAAGGGACACTCCCTGCTGCCCTTCTGCCCCCAACTCCATGTCTTTGATTCTGTGACACGGGAATGAACACACCTGTTTCTCAGACTCGGGGGCTGTGTCACATACAACGCAAGATGCCTCACATGCCACAGCCCGTGCGCCAACAGCCTCCGGGCCTCTACACCTGCTAAAGCCCTCGGCACCTCTTTCCAAACCAGATCACAGTCCACGGGGACAACAGCGATGGCGATGCGGAGGAGGGGTCCCCCACACGCTGAGGCGAATGCCCAACCAGCCAGGCGGCTGGTGCTCTCACTGGTCACCCTTAAAGCATCGAGCATCCTACTGCAGTGTCTGCTGCAGGGTCAGTGGATCAGGTGAAGGCCAGTGTGGGGCTGCGGGTGAGTGTGTGTGTTTAATGGAAGAGAGTGACACCAAAGTCTAGCAAGAACCTCTATGAATAAGTAGGTGAGGTCACAAGGTAAGAGTGCTTTCGTCCTGCAAGTTGGGGTCAAACATCTTTGAGAGCCACCGCACTGTACTGAGGCTCTCCAGGAGCCAGCGCGTTCCGTGCGCTTCCCGGCCCGCGGGTCAGAGCACCCGGCCCGAGGTGCCTCCTGAGGACTGAGCCCCGCAGCTGACCCACCTTCTTCTGGGCTCACCACAGACGTCTCGGACCCAGAACACGGAATCATGACACGCGGCTTTCCCCAGAGACGAATGCTTTTCTTCCCTCCGGTCTTCATTCTTCTCAACACCCTCTGCCACCCAACTTCACACGCCCAGGGCAAAACCAGGCCGAGCCAAACGCCTCGCTGGCCATCGGCATCTGGGCACTGGCATTACCTTGAAAAGAGACTGGAGAGCAGCGCTCCGATGTTCAGGTGCGGGCTGGGCATGATCCCGGCGTTCAGGTACACATAGTCTAACCGCTGAAACCTGCCGGCAAACACCAAGACAGGAGGGTCAGTCCCGTGAGCGTTCTTTCTCGGATGTTGGCTTCACACAGGATCTGGGAGCTACAGTGGACGGCGAAGTCAGACCTCTCTGATCAACACTCCTTGGCTTCGTCCCCCGTTAGGCTCTGCAGCTACCCTGTCCATGAAACACCCCTCCTTTGGTCTGAGGAAGTTTTGGGCTTTATTTTATTTTTTTAGATTCACATCTTCCCTAGTTGACAATTTATATAATAATAACATTCACCTAATCTGATCTATCTGGACACAGTCACAGACTCCGAAATTTGTATCACAACAGCCATCGTTTCCTAAACCTGGGTAATCACCCGTCTCTAAGAGCTGCTTGGAGAATTAAGGACAGCAGCACCGCACCAACGCTGTGGGCTGGGGGCGGCTCACTGATTACCTTAAGCTTGGGCTAACTCACCAAGTATCTTACTTGATATAAATTGCTAACCTGCGGTAACTAATGTCCACCCTGAAGAACCAGGGAGGGGAGCTGGGTTCCAGGACCTACCCAGCTTCAAGCCCTATGCCTCACGGGCACACTGCTCTCATCTCTTTATGCCGGTACCTGCTGACCTATTTAGCACCCAGCAAGCAAAGATGCAGAAAATGCTCTCAGGTGTCCAAGGCGCTCACTGAGTAAGGCGCTGGGCTGGGCGCCGGGCTGGCCGCCCGCCAGGGGCGCGCCTGGGTTACTCCTTATGAAATAAGCATGATTGCAAGGAATGAGGGCAGGACACCGGTGCCACCGCAGGCCCTTCCTCGATGGCAGCTGCTGGCGGCACCACCACAGTGAGAAAGCCCGTCAGAGAGGCCCACCTGCGCCTGAGCTCCCTGGCGGCCCGCAGCACCGAGCGCAGGTCGGAGACGTCCACCTGCACGGTGCTCACCTGGGCGGAGGGCCGGGCGGCCAGCAGCGCGGCGCGCACGGCCTCGGCCCGGCCCCGGTTCCTGCAGGCCAAGCACAGGTGCAGCCCGTCGTCCTCCTCCAGCAGCCGCTGGCACAGCGCTCGGCCGACGCCACTGGGTTAGAGAGAAACGGAATTAACCACAAGGTGCCCAACACGCCTGTCTCCCCGGGTCAGAGCCAGGCGGCCAGGAACGGGGGGCAGGCCCGCTGCGGGCCGGTCGCACCGGCCTCACCTGCTCGCCCCGGTGACCAGGACCACCTTCCTCATCTCCGCGCACCGCCCGACAGCCCAGCAAGACCCGCGCAGCTCGGATTCCTGCCGTCCCCGCCTCTCACGCCCGCCGCCTAATCAAGACCCGGTGACACAGGCATGCCACGCCCCATTCACGTCCTCCAATCAGATCCCGGGCTCGGGGATTCCCCGCCTCCTCTGGCGTCACTGACTGCGCTCTGGGCCCTCCAATCGCAGCCCGCCGTGTGCCCTCTGCTTCCGGGGATCAAGTGGGGTGAGATAGGCTGAGGGGCGGGGCCAAGGGACGCCAA